GTTGCTACATAAGTATCAACAGATTCAAAGTGTTCTTGATTCCGCTTGTTGAAATTGAACCGTTCCCATGTTTCATTGGTCTCGCCAATGCAGTAAGCTTCTAGTTTGTCCAATATTTTCTCGACTTTCCTCCTATCATTTTCACTGTCGAACTGCAACCCATCCAATATGTCTAGAGTTTCAGAACCAATACAAGTTAACAGTGTAGCTGATCTGCCTTCATCAGAATCTGTCTTTGTTCGAGAAGCAAGCTCATAGTTTCCCCACATTCATTTGAACTTTATGAAATTTCTCGTCAAATCACCCTTCAGATCAAGCTTAGGAGGCAAAGGAATGTTCATAGGTACATGATTCACTTGAGGTGAAGGAATATTTCCACTTTCATCAGCCATGATTGAGTAGTAGTAGCAGTAGTTTCGCTTATCCATATATTACTCACGACTAGCAATATAATCCGATTCACAGAAACTCCGTTAGTCACAGATTCAATATTGTCACACAAAACATCGCATGCTCTCCACTATCGAATTTAGGTGACACTGAACCACATGCGTCTCGGCTCTTTCAATCAAAAGATATTCAGTCAGTAATGCACAACAATTTGTAAAGTTTGTCAGGCGTACTCACTTCTGACACCATGTTAAGTTATATGTCATGTCTGGAGATGTCCTAGGAAGACTCAGAAAACATGAAACTGTGGTGGGAGACGAACACTTTACTCCATGTTGGTTTTGGCCTACACAGACGCACGTTGCCCATGGACCAGTCATTGTGTACAGACTCTTAGGGAGTATTCATTATGCAACAATGGGATGTTGACATAGAATGTTAGAATGATGGAATGGTGAGCTAGGATGGTAGAAAGATGAGGGGATGGTGAGATAGGATGACAGAATGATGAAGGGATGGTGAGATAGGATGACAGAATGATGAAGGAATGGTGAGATAGGATGACAGAATGATGAAGGATGGTGAGCTAGGATGACAGAATGATGATGGGATGGTGAGATAGGATGACAGAATGATGATGGAATGGTGAGATAGGATGACAGAATGATGAAGGGATGGTGAGATAGGATGACAGAATGATGAAGGAATGGTGAGATAGGATGACAGAATGATGAAGGGATGGTGAGCTAGGATGGTAGAAAGATTATGGGATGGTGAGATAGGATGACAGAATGACCAAGAAACTAGGTACAATAGTCTTGTTGTATTTTTATAAATAGAGTACAAGTGAACTATGTTGTATATATTCAGTGTATTACTGAAAAGAAAAGAATATTTTATAGGATACTGAATTGCAATCCAATTCATAAAAGACATTTTTCTACAATAACAGAAAAATGTCATTAATACATTATCCTCAAAATGCTTCTTGAAAGATATATCTTCAAGATATTTCACAGACACTCCAGATTAAACATGTGATAAGTAAGCAAGCAGGCATGTGTTTGGCAAAAGAAAGAACATTTTCCCTCATTTGAACTTGATGGGCTTTCAAAGTTTCAGATAGAAATATTGGACAGGTCACAGTTGACAGCTCAAAAGACAAACCCTGTCCTCAACTGAAACATAATCTGAATTATAAAGGCAAAAATTAGAAAACACAAAAACATTCCTCAAAAGCATGTGCATGATATGTATACATAAGGAAAAAAGTTAAGCACCCCCTTTTGTAACTGACAAAAGGTTTGCAATGGTAAATAATAGTGCTGTAAGGTTCATGTTGTGTCTAAAATGGTACGATTGCTATAGGATTCTGTGACAGTTAGTCAGGTTTGTCGCTCAAAAACATCCGGAGAGTGATCGCAAGAAAGCAATGCATGATTTTCTCAAAATGCAGTATGCGCACATGCCAGAAATCAGTATTTATTCTGAAAGTTTTAATAAATAATAATAATAATAATAATAATAATAATGTGTCCATTTATATAGCGCCAAACTCCACACTAGGTATGTTCATAGCACTAACAATCAATAAGGCATTATTGAAGTCCATAGAACTTTTTGTAGACGCTTAAAGTTTTCAAGGGTTGGAGACAGCTTAAGTTCATCAGGGAGGGAATTCCAATTGACCGATGCCATGTTCTGGTAAGATCTGTAGCCAAATGATTTGAGGTTCCACTTTGTGTTTTCATGTGTACATTATTTCTATGAGACCATGGCTCGAAGAAGGATGACAGAAGCACAAAGTTGGCAAGTGACTGGAATGCGTAATGCTGGTTTGTCTCACAAAGCAATAGGGCGTGAAATGAACATTCACTTCACTGCAATCAGCCGTTTGGTGAGGAAATTCCTGCAAACAATCCATGTGAAGGACAGACCACGACCCAGGAGACCGTCTAAGACTAATAAGCGCGAGGACAGAGCATTGGTAAGACTTAATCCATTTGCCTCAAGTACAGTTTTAAAGGGTATCTGTTTACCCAACCGTCGTTTGTCATCCATGACTGTTCGAAATCACCTGAGACGTGCTGGATTGAGATCCAGATGACCTATCACAAGGTCCTTACTGCAAGATAGGGTTGAAACGGTATGCTCTTACCACGGTACATATTGCGGTACAAAGCTTCGGTTCGGTCCATTTCAGTTGGGTATATGAGATATGATGATAATGCAGAAAATTGACAAGAGCCAAACCTAGATAGATTTTGACAATATGATTCGATTTTTAGACATTTTAGAAAAGGTTTTAAAAGGTTCATAAAATGACGGTCCGAAAACGAAAAATACCAATTTTTTTTATTGTACTAAGGCATACTCGAACTGATGGCAGCGTACTTCGGTTCTACTGAGTAGTCGGTTCTACGAACACCGTTTCACCCCTACTGCAAGATCACCACAAGAGACTCAGATTAGCATGGTGCTTTGCGCATAGAGGGTAAAATCTAAGGACATGGTGCAAGGTTCATTGGTCGGATGAATGCAGATTTTTACTGCATGTTACTGATGGTTGGGTGAGAGTATGGCCGCGGCTAAATACAGCATTGGCACATAGGAACATCCTGCCAACAGTTGTTTTTGGTGGTGGTGGTTCGATTATGATCTGGGGTTGTTTGTCACATGACTAGATTTGGTGACAATTTGTGGTCACCTAACAGGCGATTGCTACAAGCAGGAGGTGCTTGATCCAGTTGTTGTGCCTCATATCGACAACCATCCCCTTGCAATGAGACTGTTCTCTATGGATGACAACGTTAGACCTCACCGAGCTCGTGCTGTGACAGCTTTTCTTGAGACCAATGCTGTGGACTGAGGTTATCATGGCCTGCCATGAGTCCTCACATCAACCATTTGGAGCACATTTGAGACCTCATTGGTCGTCGAGTACAACCCTATGATCCTCCTTTGCAAATGATTCAACAGTTGGAAGCTGCCTTACACCAGGAATGGGGAATGTGACCATACAAGACATAAGGAGGTATACTGGTGGTATGCAACACACGATGGAAGATGTCATCAGTGCACAAGGTGGATACACAAGATATTGACTTTAAACAGTTCAGTTGTGAAGCAAATGGGTGAAAGTACACTTTTCAGACTAATTTAACACACTTTGTTGTCTGTTTTTCTTTGCAGGACCATACTTGTGAAGGGTATACTTTCCTATCACAAAATCAGTTGTTTTGCAAAGTCATGCTTAAATTACGAACGTTTTTAAACATTGCTTCTTAAAAAAAAAACTCAATTGTAGCCAGTTCATAAAACTTCTGAAAAAATACTAGGGGTGCTTTACTTTTGTCTTTATGTATATAAACAATTTCACATCAGCATTTAACCATTATGTGTACAGAACAGACTCAGCCCGTTTCCATCATCATCCCATTTGTAGTATTTACTTATATTAAGGTTGTTTGATCATAATCCCCCTCGTTATAGATGACATCAGTATGTAAACCTGAGTCCATTTCCTGTTATTCCCAACCACACCTATAATCAATATGTGACTGTATGCCTTCCATTACATTCTGCTTATTTATGATGTGAAACACATTTAACGATAATGAGTCATTAAGTTTAGTTCAGACTTAGGACTATGAATGTTCAAGCAAACATGAGAGAGGTTTTGTGTGTTATTTCAGAATTCTAACAAGTACCAAGCAAATGCAATCACATACTGCCATTATCAATACAAATATACACTCACATGCTCTGGGTAACAAGCACAAATAGAAATTTATAGCTCACCTGGTTAATGATATCCCACCTGTGCCTATGTCTAAAGCATCAGCAGTAAAATCCACCAGCAAATCAGATTCACAAGTATTGATCATCAAGGGTTAATTCAGAATCTGGAGTGGAACAGATACTCATAAATGTACTTTCACTTTTGTCTACACACAAAAACTGATGAAGAATGAATAAAACTGACAAAAGGAATAAAATCTCTATAAGACTGACAGGCTTTTCTTATAGAAGGTGAAATCTTCATTTTTCTGAGGCACAAAGTGTAGAGGAACAGGGTTAATTCAGAATCAGGAGTGGAACAGATACTCATAAATGTACTTTCACTTTTGTCTACACACAAAAACTGATGAAGAATGAATAAAACTGACAAAAGGAATAAAATCTCTATAAGACTGACAGGCTTTTCTTATAGAAGGTGAAATCTTCATTTTTCTGAGGCACAAAGTGTAGAGGAACAGGTGAGCTAACATTAAGTTTGTTCAAACACTCTAAACCAGTCTCTATATAAAGTTAAATATCCATCCTTTTCAGCAGTCACACACAAAACCTCATGGTTTTGTGTGGATGCTTTTCATTGGATGAAGGCCAACAGTAGTAATTTACAACAGACAACTTGGTGTTCGGTCACAAACACAGGCAAGTTCAAGACCATATGTGTAACTGATGCCTTTCAGTTTCCTTTTGATGAACAGAAATGTCAACTTGTCTTTGATTCGTATCGGAATTATATCAAATTGAATGAAATCCCATTGCCAAGTTTTGAATACATGTCACTTGTAAAGAACGATTCTGAATGGACAGTGATACAAATGACAAGTGGAGTTGCATTCTTTAAGGGATATCCTTTCCAATCAGTGACCTTGACCCTGAAGAGACAGAGTCACTTCTATGTGTTAAGCATCATTATTCCAATGGCCTTGACCTCCATCATGAATGCGTTTGTCTTCATCCTTCCTGCAGATTCCGGAGAGAAAGTATCCTTTCTTGTTTCCATCTTTGTGTCACATGCTGTGTTCCTCAACTTTGTCTACGACATCATGCCAAGGACATCCACCAGAGTTCCAAAGATCATGATCTATCTCATCTGTATCCTCCTTCAAAGCTTCCTGGCGCTCCTGGCTGTCACAACAACCCTCAGGATCAGGAACAACCAACTCCAGGGAGATCACGAGAGAGTTTCAACTGTGGCAGACAAGACAGAGGGGGATAACGCCTCAGAGGTGTCCAAGATGAAAGGTAGACTCCACAACTTGGATGCTCAGAAGATGGATAACATCCTTTTTGTGGTATTGCTATCCATCGCCATCATCAACACTGTTGTTTTTGTTGCCAAACTCACATCTATGTGCAGCATAACTGCAGTTGGAAAGTTGTTTAAGTATGTTTTGCACTTGTTTGTGCCATGGGAAAACATTTTGGATATCTGGAGATGTTTTGTTTATGTCAATTTTTAAGAGATTTTAATTACCCATTATGCCAAGAGATGTTTCACATACAAGTTTGGCAATTGGATGGTGTGTGGCGACTGTGTCCAGGGAGCGGGAGAATTAAACACCCAGCTTTCTGTCAATGACCATGACATCCCAAACACCTCTGACAATTTGACTGTCAGAAGATTTAGCTACAATTTGAATTAACAACTCAGAAGAAAAAAGATTGAAGTTTGGATGTGTTTTTAACTCAACCTGTTATAGTTTTTTTTCTTGAGTTCTGTTAGAACTGACATGACATTTCGTGTTGTAGATGATGGTTTTAAATGGAACTAGTTTTCCATGTTATATGACATTCACATGTTGTCATATGAAGTTATTGACATTGTTCTAGCAAGTAATTAATTTTGTTATATCAAGTTATAAATGTTATATGAAAGTTATCATGTTGGATTTATCAAGGCATCAATTCACTGTTGTACCTTGGGATGTTATATCCTTAGAATTGGCAACTGTATGACGTGTTATGACTCACATCATTACAGTGTTATATCAAGTTATATCAATGTTATAGGAAGGTAATAATTTTGGATTTATCAAGGTATCAACATTGTTGTCACACAACCTACATATATATGTTCCATAATTGCACTTAAAAATGTAAATACTTTAGGTTTGCATGCACATGTTTGTTTAACATAATTCTAGTTAGAAATTAAGCTTTATTTGAATACTTATCTTTAGCACTTGTTTTTATCATGGAATAACTGTTTGAATATCTGCAGATGTTGTAGATGATGGTTTGAAATGGATTTATCAAGATCTCAACACTGTTGTTGCACAACCTGCATATTGCACCTGAAAATGTAATACTTTTGGTTTGCATGCACATGTGTTTGGTTAACATATATCTAGAAATTAAGCTTTATTTGAATACTTATCTTTAGCACTTGTTTTTATTGAATATCTTAAGATGTTGTAGATGATGGTTTTAAATTGAATTAGTTTTCCATGAATTATGACATTTCAATGTTGTCATATGAAGTTTCTGACATTCTTCTCGCAAGTAATTAATTTTGTTATATCAAGTTATATCAATGTCAAAAGAAGGTAATAAGGTTGGATTTATCACGATTACAACCATATGTTGCATAATGGAAGTTTAAAATGTAAATAGTTGCACATGTTTGGTTTACAGAATTCTTGTTAGAAAATAAGCTTTATTGCATGCTTATCATTAGCACTTATTTTCACATCACTATAAACATATAAATAATCCAAAAGCGAGACAAAAATTGTTAGAGACCATAGATGCTTTAGCTTTTAAAACCCATGGCTAGAGATAAACCATCAGCTAGAAGATGTACATGGTGACATTGTTTTGCACAATGTTCCAAGCATACATTCTGACCATTCCATAATATCACTTACTATATCATTATCTGATGTGCAGAGAAGAAAAGGGTTCTGGAAATTAAACAATTCTCTTTTCAAAGACAAAGAGTATGTAGATCTTGTAAAACAAAACTATCAGTGATACCCTAGAACAATATAAAGATAATACAAACAAAGAAGATAATAGTTTTACCCTAAATGATCAACTGCTATGGGAAATGTTACTGTTGAACATATGGGGGAAGTACAATATATTATTCATAAACACGTAAAAAGAAAAATCTAGCTCTAGAAGCCAAATTAGAAGATTTAAATGGTTAGGAAATTTAATTAGGCAAAGTAAATGATGAAATTGAAAAAACCCATATTAATGGAAAAAATTTAGGAAACTAAATTCGAATTAGAAAATCTAAAAAAATAAAGACTGAAGGCTCCTTTATAAGATCTAAAGCCAAATGGATACAGCAAGGGGAAAAAACCATCCAAATATTTTTTACAATTAGAAGCCAGATATTTTCTTAATAAATCCATATCAAAATTTGAAAATAGAGATGGAATTGTATTAAACACACAAGATGGTATTATCCAAGAAGTAAAAAGGTATTACGAACATTTATATACAAGAGAAGACTGTACACAAATCGACTTAGAAAACCTTTTTACAGAGACGCCAATTCCATGACTAGATGATATCACTTCCAAATCTCTTGAAGGTAAATTGAGTTATGATGAAGTACTTAATGCACTAAAAAAATATGAAAAATGAAAAAAGTCCTGGCCCTGATGGATTCACAAGTTGTTTTGGTTAAATCTGCACAGATACCTTATAAATGCATTAAACTATGCATTTGATAATGGATCTTTTTCTATAACACAAAGGCAGGGATTGATAACATGTATCCCAAAAGAAAATAAATCTAAATTATATCTGAAATGTAAATAGTTGCATGTGTTTGTTTTACATAATTCTAGTTAGAAAATAAGCTTTATTGCATACTTATCATTAGCACTTATTTTCATCACAGAATAACTGTTTGAATATCTTCAGATGTCATATATTAATGTCAAGTTTACTGATATATTTACTTAATTTACTGATATATCCAGGGATGTTCTACATGTGGATTTTTCAATTAGATACATTTGCAACTAATGGCAATTCAACTATCACTGGACTTGAAGGACATTTTTTTCCTGAGATCACAAACCTGTGATGCGTGTCTGGAAACACATTAAATTAGTGCCAGCTTCATAAACTACACTGAAGTCAAGAACGCGTATGCCTGTCACAAGACATTTGGCAGTGACCAAATTCTGGACAGTTGTGAGTGCACTTAGAAAAATCACAGTGCCTGTTACTTATTGCTGATGTCAGTTATTTTACCCAATGTATTTTCTGTTGTAAGTCTAAATGTCTGTGTTTAAATTAAATTTATTGATTGTTCATTGATCCTGTGTTTTTCTCCTTTCACAATAGAGTTCTGCACACATAGAATTGTGGAAATCATTACAAGAGAATCTTGATGTGCATAATTTCTCCATTAATATGACATTGATCCATTACGAGGTAAATAACAAAGTTCAGGTAAATTACAGAGCTAAGTGGCTTCATTTCCACATCATGTGATTGGATGGAAGAAGTATGAAGGGATGGTGAGATTGGATGGTAGAAGTATGAAGGGATGGTGAGATTGGATGGTAGACTGATGAAAGGATGGTGAGATTGGATGATAGAATGAGGAAGGGATGGTGAGATTGGATAGTAGAATGAGGAAGGGATGGTCAGATTCAAAGGTAGGATGGTGAGATTTGATAGTAAAATGATGGGATGGTGAGATTGGATAGTAGAATAATGATGGGATGGTGAGATTGGATGGAAGAATAGAAATAAGATGGTGAGTTTGGATAGTAGAATGATGAAGTATGCAAGGTTGGATAGTAGAATGATGATGGTATGGTCAGATAGGATAGTAAAATGATGAAGTGATGGTGAGATTGGATAGTAGAATGATGAAGTGATGGTGAGGGTGGATGGTAGAATGATTAATGGATGGTGAGATTGGACAACAAAATGATGAAGTGATGGTGAGATTGGATGGTAGAATGAAAATAGCCTGGTGAGATTGGATGGTAGAATGATGATGGGATGGTGAGATTAGATAGTAAAATGATGATGGGATGGTGAGATTGGCTGGAAGAAGAATGATGGGATGGTGAGATTGGATGGTAGAATGAAAATAGGATGGTGAGATTAGATGGTAGAATGAAGGGATGGTGAGATTGGATAGTAAAATGATGATGGGATGGTGAGATTGGATGGTAGAATGATGGGAAGGTGAGATAGGATGGTAGAACGATGAGGGGATGATGAGATTGGATGGTAGAATAATGAGGGGATGGTGAGATTGGATGGTAGAATGATGAAGGGATGGTGAGATTAGATAGTAAAATGATGATGGGATGGTGAGATTGGATAGTAGAACGATGAAGGGATGGTGAGATTGGATGGTAGAATAATGAAGGGATGGTGAGATTGGATGGTAGAATGATGAAGGGATGGTGAGATTAGATAGTAAAATGATGGGATGGTGAGATTGGATAGTAAAAGTATGAAAGGATGGTGAAATTGGATAGAAGCATGATGAAGGGATGATGAGATTAGATAGTAAAATGATGAAGGAATGGTGAGATTGGATGGTAGAATGATGAACGTATGGTGAGATTGGATGGTAGAATAATGAAGGAACTGTGAGATTGGATGGTAGAATGAAGATAGGATGGTGAGATTGGATAGTAGAAGTATGAAGGGATGGTGAGATTTGACAGCAAAATCATGAAGTGATGGTGAGATTGGATGGAAGAATGATGAAGAGATGGTGAGATTGGATGGTAGAATGATTAAGGGATGATGAGATTGGATAGTAAAATGATAAAGTGACGAGATTTGATGGTAGAATGATGAAGTGATGGTGAGATTGGATGGAAGAATGGAAATAGGATGGTGAGGTTGGATAGTAGAATGATGAAGGATGGCAAGGTTGGATAGTAGAATGATGATGGGATGGTGAGATAGGACAGTAAAATGATGAAATGATGGTGAGATTGGATGGTAGAATGATGAAGGGATGGTGAGGTTGGATAGTAGAATGATGAAGGGACATGAGGTTGGATAGTAGAATGAGGGATGGTGAAATAGAATAGTAAAATGATGAAGTGATGGTGAGATTGGATAGTAGAATGATGGTGGGATGGTGAGATAGGATAGTAGAATGATGGGATGGTGAGATTGGATAGTAAAATGATAAAGTGACGATGAGATTGTATGGTAGAATGATGAAGTGATGGTGAGATTGGATAGTAGAATGATGGTGGGATGGTGAGATAAGATAGTAGAATGATGAAGGATGGCAAGGTTGGATAGTAGAATGATGATGGGATGGTGAGATAGGACAGTAAAATGATGAAATGATGGTGAGATTGGATGGAAGAATGAAAATAGGATGGTGAGGTTGGATAGTAAAATGATGAAGGGACATGAGGTTGGATAGTAGAATGATGAGGGATGGTGAAATAGAATAGTAAAATGATGAAGTGATGGTGAGATTGGATAGTAGAATGATGGTGGGATGGTGAGATAGGATAGTAGAATGATGGGATGGTGAGATTGGAAAGTAAAATGATGAAGTGATGCTGAGATTGGATGGAAGAATGAAAATAGGATGTTGAGATTGGATAGAATGATGAAGGATGGTGAGGTTGAATAGGAAAATGAAGAGGTGGTGAAATTGGATGGTAGAATAATGAAGGAACAGTGAGATTAGATGGTAGAATGAAGATAGGATGGTAGGGTACTGCTGCGATGGTGAGATAGGATGGTAGAAAGATCATTTGATGGTAGAATGCTGATAGATGGTGTGATAGG